TTCATTCTTCTGTCCTTAGGGAGGCTTTCTCATTCCCAGAGCCAAACAAGGGTTCATCCACATGAGCTGCCATGGAACACATGTTTTGCTGTTTCTTCCAGGTTGTCTGTTGATCTTCATAGATGTCCATGAGAATATTCCAGGGAGCATAGGAAAGTCAGGGGCTTCATTTGTCCCCCAGTGCATGTTTTCTCAGGTTTTCGCGGGTGTTTGTATGTAGGTCTTTGGTTATTCGGGTCTTCTCCCACGTAAAATTGGAAGTGTCTTGGCGACGTTTCGACGAAGTCTCATTCGTCATCTTCAGGCTGGTGTTCTCGGCTTCGTGCTTCCAGGAGCAATGTGAGATCGCAGCTGTCTCTTCCTTTTAACTGCTTGTGGGGGTGTGAGCTGATTGGGTGGGAACTTGGCTGTGTTCTGATTGGGTGGAGGTGTGTACTGATTGATTAGGGGCTTGGCTGTGCTCTGATTGGATTGGGGGTTGGTTGTGCTCTGATTGGCTGGGGGTGTGTTCTGTTTGGGTGGGGGCTTGGTTGTGCTCAGCTTAGTCTGAGTTGCAGGGGGATTTGAGCTGGTGAGCTGCGTTGTTGTTGTTTGGCTTCGTGTTTGTGGCCATGCGAGCTCTTCATGGTGGGTGTCAGTCTGCTTCATGTATGGATTGGAGGGGTTTAAAGTGGCTAATGATGCAGCTGCGGTCTGGCTTCTGGTCCTTGGTCGTGGCTCATATATATATATATATATACTCACACTAAAAAAAAGTTTAGGTTTGCCATTAGCCTTTTCTATTAGAGGTTGCCCTGATCTATCGAACTGTGCAGTTTGGGTTGTATAGCATTGCATAATAAAAAACATAGTTATAGGAATTCTCCTGATTTTCCAAATACAAAATATATGCTCATCTATTGTTAGTTTGTGCTGCATGCATGTTTGTTACCTGCCTTCACTTCTACATGACAGTGTGCATAACATATTGTATGTGTCTTCTTCTTCTTGAACCATATCCATCATTGGATGTTGGCGATCTTATTTTTATCAACAGCCACATGAATAAGTGCTGTTGAGTTTTATCCAAACTAGTCCCTTAGATTTTGAAGCCATGATGTTCTTTTTCTGCCTGGACCTCATTTCCCTTCAATCTTTCCTTGGAGGATTAAGTGAAGTATACTGTATTTTTCTGGGTGTCGCATCACATGTCCAAAATATTCTAACTTCCGCTTTTTTATGGTTTAATGATTTCCCTTGGCTTTCCCATTGTATGCGTACACTATAATATATACCTGATTGTTATGCTAGCAATACTGCTGACTTCAGGAAGTTCATTTATCATCTTTTTGCCCCAGCTGAATTTTTCTCCAGCTTAAGTCAGAATTCATTTAATATTTCTGAGTCCTGTAGGGATGTGAAAGCTCAATGAATTGTTTTTCTTTTGAAAGTCTTATCATCAAGAATGTAATAAGATAATTGAATTTGGAGTTGGAGTGACATAAATTGAGCTACTCACCTGAACTTTGAGGGGAATAGCTTGATTATTCAGCCCAAAATTGAACTGAGCCCAGATGGGTTCATTCTTTATATCTAATCTGCTTCATTGATTTCAGTGTTTACACATTGCGCTGAACACACTAATCCATATTATGTTAGTTATAACAAAGCATCTGAAAAAAAAAATCATTTCCAAATTTTGCAAATATAAAATTGGAATAGTCATATCAAATATGTAACAATATTTGAGAAACCTAAAATGGTTGGAGGCTTCAGGCATGTTTAATTTAGTGATGAGAAGATACAGTAGTTGTCTACAAATATCTGAAGAGCTGCATGTAGAGTTCAGGATGGAATTGTTCAGAGTTGTTCCAGGAGAAAAGAGAGTGGGTTTTAATTACAAGAAAGTAGATTTTGATTGGACAACAGGAAAAATGTCCTTATGGCAAAAGCTGTTCAACATTGGAACAGATGGCCTTAGGACTATCATTTGCTGGAGAAGATGGACTCTGCTTGACTGTAAACATTTAAGCAGAGACTATAATAGTGGATTGGAATATATCCTCTGCTTTCCTGGCTGTATATTCCATAATTAAAAGAAATTTAGAACACAGTTGGAGAATATACAGGGAAATATAAATGATTAAGAAACTGTGAACTAATGATGAAATAAATAAAGAACATACATATGCACAAGTCTTCAAGAGGCAGTATCAGGGGTGAAATGCTCCTGGTTCGGACCGGATCACCCGATCCGATAGCGATGGCGGCGGGTGGTTCAGAGAACCGGTAGCAAAAATCCCTGCGGCCCCCCCCACCATGCCCAGCTGAGCCGCACAATCATCAGAGAATTTTTTTTTTAACTTTTAAGAGCATTTTTTCTACAACTTCTTCCGCCGAAAAAATGCTTTTAAAAGTAAAAAAAAAAAAAAAAGCCTCTGATGATCATGCAGCTCAGCTGGGATTGTCAGAGGCTTTTCAAAGTATTTTTTTTCTGCAACCTCTTCCAGGGAAGAAGTGGTTAAAAAAATGCTTTGAAAAGGCTCTGCTGATCAGGCAACACAGCTGGGATCGTCAGAGCTTTTTGAAAGCATTTTTAACCACCTCTACCCCGGAAGAGGTTGCAGAAAAAAATGCTTTAAGTCTCTCTGATGATCTCAGCTGTGTTGCCTGATCAGCAGAGCCTTTTCAAAGCATTTTTTAAACCACCTCTTCCACTGAAGAGGTTGCAGAAAAAAATGCTTCGTAAGTCTCTCTGACGATCAGGCAACTCAGTTGGGATCATCAGAGAGACTTTTAAAGCATGTTTTTCTGCAACCTCTTCAGCGGAAGAGGTGGTTAAAAAAATGCTTTGAAAAGGCTCTGACGATCCCAGCTGTATTGCCTGATCGGCAGAGCCTTTTCAAAGCATTTTTTTGCATTTGCAGAAAAAATGCTTTGAAACTTTTTTTTTAAAAGTTGGCCACACCCACCCAGTCACATTATCCCCACCACCACCAAGCCACGACCACAGAATCGGTAGTAATAAATTTTACATTTCACCCCTGGGCAGTATGCCAATGATGGTTTGGGGCCAGACACATTTCAACCCAAGTATTGAACTTCTCTTAATTATGGAGCATTGATTAGTCTTTTCAGAAAAATGTAACCATTATGTTTAGCGTTTATTATATTATTTATATATTAGACAATAAATATATCATGAAATAATTATTCATTACATTAATTTATATTTCACCAAATTCCTGTTGGCTGCTTGATGCAAACTTGGTTTGACATAATTTATATCGCATTCCTTAATGTTTTACAGAATTAGATTTTAGGACTTTCTGGTTAATTTTTATTTTTAATATTTTAGACCACATGAGGCCAAAAATATGTAAAATTTTCTCTCTAACTGAATAATTTTCCTTTCGTTATCCTCTTTTTGTTTGCAAAATAAATGGAATCTAATGAATCCTAGTTAGCCTTTCAGTTTGAAGTGTTTTCAGTTTTAAACTTTTAAAAATAAAACTTCGGCTTATTGTCTTTGTGCTAAAATAATTGAAAATACTTAGACATTTGCAAAAATAGATCGTTTGTGCAGAGATATGGATGGAATTCATAGCCATAATGAACAGAATTACATGAATTATACTATTAGTGACACAAATGCTTCATTATGAACAAGCTGATCAAAATGAGAAACAGATTTTGGCTTCCAAGTGTTACTGTTTTTCTAGTTGCCTGGTCATGTCTTAAAGAGATAGCTATATTTCAAAGGATTCTGCAGCACTTCAGATTCGTTTTGTCTTTTTCTGAGATTGTGTATCTGTCCTCTACATCTGCTGCATGTTCCCTGGAAAGACCCATACTTTAAAGGAGATCAGAGTTGCAAAAATGGGTAACATTCATGCTCTGAATTAATTCTTTTTAGAATACAGTCTGAAAGAAATGCTAACATTTAAGATCCCTGAATCAATAGAAAAAGGCTGTCTTTTTTCATTTCAGCTTTTAAAAAGTAGACATTGCATTATGGGCATTGGGGGTTTTTTTTGCATTTTTTGTAGTGTGTACAGAGTTCCATTGTTGTATTTACTGATATATTTTTTTTTACATTTATATAGTCCCCCTTCTCACCAAAGCAACTCTAGGTGATAAATAACATTTCAAAGTAAAAACAATATTATAGCTAATTAAACACTCAACACAACATCCAAGAAAAATGACAGCTTGGAATATAGAAAATCACCAAACAATATCAACCATATGGGCTTCACTCATTTCGCATGACTGGGCGAATAGCAGGTCTTCAGCATTTTATGGATGACCAGCAGGGTTAGGACTAATTTGATCTCAGGTGATAAGGTTTTCTGGAGATCAGGTGCCAGGACAAGAAGACAAGCTTCCTAGACCCCACAAACTATCTTCTTTAATTGACAAAACCCAACATACACTTCCTATTGGACTGAACAAGATAGGTAGAAGCCACTAAAGGAAGACTAATGATTGGTTTGTGACTCATATAATAAAATGTATGCATGAACTGTATAGATTGAAGAATGCCAAATTTCTAGATTCTGAATTTTGCAATAGATTAAAATGAAGTCATAGATTGAAGCTCAAATTTAGGACTAAGACCATTTCAGTAATAAATGAAATAAATAATAATAATAAAAGCCATTAGGATCATAATCAACAAATAATAGGAGACTGATTCATGAAAATAGTTAAATGGAATATAGAAAATATAATAAGCTATGCACTCTTTAATTTAAGAATAATGCTGTTTTTAATGGGAATGCTGTGTCAATGCTGTTTTATTTGTGAATACAAATGTCAAAGTAGAATAACTTTTTGGTTATTCTTTGGTTATTTGTGTGAAATGTATTTAACTTATGAAATGTGTCTGACAGTTTGCAATGTTGTTGGTAAATAACATTCATGCTATATAACTATAACTAGCTATAAAATATAAAAAGAAGTATGAGCCGACTCTGTCACTTTCATTTTTATCAATTATAATCATTGTTTATTTCCAGAATGGAATTTTAATAAAAGTAACAGAGACCTGTCCTCCATTGAACTGTTCAGAAAAAGACTATGTACTCCCGGAAAATCAGTGCTGCCGTGTTTGTAAAGGTAAGTAGCATGCTGCCTGGATTTTTGACAATTTAAGTGGTTTTTGAGTAGTTCGTTGAGTTTAGAGTGGAAGAATTTTATAGGTTCTATGATGTTTCTGTGAACAGATTTTATTTGTCTAAATTCTAGACGTAGAATCAGACTGCCCAAGTTAGAAAACAACTTTATTATTCCATTTAGAATAAGAAAACAATATAGGAGAACCACATAGACTTCTCAACCTATAGAGCATATACAACTTCGCAGCATTGTCTAAATCACACCACTGAAATTAAGTTACAATATAGCTGAATTGCAGTGATACAAAACTTTAAGCTAGAAGGTGCATTTTATAATGATGATGGCAATGATTTGCCTCCCAAAAGACCTCCTCTACTATTTCTACCCTAATTCTTTAAAATAAGACATGGATTATGTTTAGATAGATTGAAGAGACTGAAGACAGGCTTCAGACAACAACTCTTTATTCAGCAACTATCTACAATCTGGCAGCCAGCCGCTCTGACAGATAGCCCTTTTATAGGAAGCTTCAGGGAAACCAGGCAATCATGTTTGAGTATTTTTCCCGCTCAAACAGCGGACCAGAGGAAAAACTTAGGCTGTCAATATCTAACACCCGTCCCCTTCTAGTTGGAGTAATTCACTCTACATACATAGTAATGCTGATAGGTGGGGCGTTTGCTAGATCTACTTGACCTGCATGGCTCAGTTAGCGTGGCGGTAGCGGGCTGAGAGGTTGTGCCTGCTGCTGCCTCTTGTTCTGCCCATGGAAAGTCCTGGAAACTTTCAAGCGGGGCCTTGGATTCTATGGGAACCAGTTCATGGGAGGTGTGTTGCTGGATTCCTGGTTCTTCAGGTGCGTTCTCCGGTTCCATCGGGCTTGAGTCTGCTGAAGGGATTAGAGTTAAATTCCTGTTGTTCAATTTCTAAGTTTTCTTTAGTTTGACTGAGATGGCTACGTAATTGATCTATGTGCTGCCTCCATTGGCACCCGTCATTAAGCCTAACTATATTTATTTTTATTTTATTTTATTTTTCAATTTATATACCGCCCTTCTCCCTGAGGACTCAGGGCGGTGCACAGCCAGAATTAAAAACATGAAATACAAATATTAAAAACAATTAAAATCTATATAAATTTGGCCCAAAATTTAAAAAACCACAAACCAATTAAACATTTAAAAATTTTAAAAAATTTCTTCCTAAGCCAGCCCAGCTTGCTGGAAAAAATGGGTTTTAAGGGCACGGCGGAAGGCACTGAGGTCTTGGATTCTCCTTATCTCTGGGGGCAGCTGATTCCAGAGGGTAGGTGCCCCCACAGAGAAGGCTCTCCCCCGGGGGTCACCAGCCTACATTGTTTGGCTGATGGCACCCTGAGGAGGCCCTCTCTGTGGGAGCGCACGGGTCGCTGGAAGGTCGTCAGTAGCAGCAGGCGGTCTCGAAGATAGCTAGGCCCTATGCCATATATGACTTGGGCCCTGTTAGCTTTTCTATTTTGCCAGGTAGCCATAGGGGTCCTTTGGCAAAGTTTTGTGAGTGAACCAGGTCCCCAATGCTAAAGGACCTGGTGCGGTTTTGCATTTCTGTTGTTGTTTCAGGGGCATAATTTGGGTGAAGGTGGTCTAAGACCGATCGAAGCCGGCGACCCAGGCTTCTTCCTGTGGCCACACTGGATGTTATGTGTTGGTACAGGAGGAATTTGTCTACCCACTCTTGCCAATCTCCTGGTGCCAACCTGCCCAATGCCTCCTTGGCATACCTTAACATCCTTTCAGCCTGCTCATTACTGGCCAGATGAAAGGGTGCTGTGAGGTCATGGTGTATCCCTAGTTCTGCCTGGAAACCTTTAAATTGGGTGGCAGTAAATTGTGGGCGGTTGTCCGATACGAGGACATCAGGCACACCGTGAGTGGCAAATAGTTTATTGAGCACCTTGATTACTGCGTCAACGGTAGTGGTGCCCATCAGGATGATCTCCAGTCACTTGGAGTAGGCATCCACGACTACTAAGAAGGTTTGGCCATGAAAGGGCCCAGCAAAATCGATGTGAACCCTAGACCAGGGGGCTCTAGGGTGATCCCACTCTTGGATGGGTGTCCTAGAGGGAGAGGGCCGTGACTCTTTACAAGGCTGACACCTGGCTACCATTCTTTTATTTCCTGGTCCATATTTGGGCCACCACACAAACTTCGGGCTAGGGCTTTCACCCAGACAATCCCCGGATGTCCCTCATGCAATGTTTTTAGTATAGAATACCTTAGACTTGGAGGTATGATTACCCGGTCTCCCATAGTAAACAACCCCCTGCACCAATATCTCGTGTTGTCGAGCCTCAAATGGCTTAAACTCTGCACCAAATGGGCCTTTTGGCCATCCCCTCCATACCCAGTTCAAAAGCATTTTGAATGTAGCATTCTTAGCTGAGTGCATGGCCACAGCAGCAGAAGTCACGAGGCCAGAGTCCAGGCAGTCAATGAGGAGGATGGGAATGTCCAGAGTTGGCTCATCCAATAAATCTGGCAGGGGACATCTGCTGAGGGCATTGGCATGTCCCAAAGTCTTGCCGGGCTGGTGAAGCAGCTTATAGCAGGAAGCTGACAAGAAAATGGACCACCTCATAAAACGGGGTGACAAAGCCACTGGTGTGGGATGGTCTCCTGCCAAGAGGCCCAAAAAAGGTTTGTGGTCCATAACCAATTCAAAATCCCTCCCAAACAAGTATTTGTGAAACCACTTGACCCCGGCCACCGCATTCAGCACTTCCCTGTCCAGCTGGCTATAGTTTCTCTCTGCATTGGATAGTGTCCTGGAAAAGTAGGTGACTGGGGCCTCGGTCCCATTAGGGAATCAGTGGCTAAGCACAGCCCCCACACCGAAAGGAGAGGCATCACAAACTAGTACCAATGGTAGGGTGTCATTATACTGGATTAAAAAACTGTCAGCAGAAAGGAGGCATTTTACTGCTGAAAAAGCGGTGGTTTCTTTGCACCCCCAGACCCAAAGGCTCTTCTTAGCCAGCAGCTTGTGGAGCGGTTCAGCAACTGTGGCGTTATTTTTCAGGAAAACGCTGAAGTAATTGAGCAAGCCCAGGAAGGCTTGCAATTCAGTCCGGTTCCGTGGAGTGGGGGCTTCCTGAATTGCTCTGACTTTGCTTTGGGTAGGATGGATGCCTTCCCCATTGATTTTGTAACCCAGGAATCTACTTCGGGGACTCCGATCTGGCATTTGTTGCCCTTGGCTTGGAGCCCTGCAGACCTAAATTTTGACAGCACCTCCCTCAAATGTGAGTGTAGTTGCTGTTCGTCACCAGCAGTAATTAAAACATCATCAAAGTATGGCGCTAACCCATAAATTTTCTGCAATAGCCTTTCCATTACACTCTGGAAAAGTCCCGGGGCAATGCTAATGCCAAATTGTAAACGGTGACATTAGAACGCCCCCCTGAGCGTTACAGTAGTTTGAGCCTACACAGTAGCGCCATCTACAGGCACTGCTGGTAAACCTGCATAAGGTCTAATTTGGCGAAAATTCTCCCCAGCCCAAGGGAATGCAAGAGGTGCTGGACTATGGATACTGGATATGCACTCTGCTGAAGTGCCTTGTTTAAAGTACACTTGCAGTCAGCTCAAATGCGCACAGAACCATCACTCTTGACTGGGGTAACAATTGGGGTTTCCCACTTGGCGTGGTCAACTGGCTCAAGTATGCTCTGCCAGATAAGTTTATCTAATTCCTTGTCTATCCTGGGTTTGAGGGCAAAAGGAACCCTCCGGGGCTTTAATCAGATGGGCGCTACACTTGGGTCTAAACTAAACAAAATGGGAGTGTCCACATACTTGCTGAATTCTGGGTTAAACATATCTTGGAACTTCCAAATCAGGTCATCGGCCCACAAGCTGTCAATGACTTTGATGCCTGACTCCTAGTTTAAAGGACTTGAACTAGTCCAAACCGAGAAGGTTCAGGAGGTCTCCACCAACAACCATTAAGGACAGGTCTCCCTGGAATTTGTTGAACTGAACATTGAAGGTTCCGCAGCTGATTACAGGGATTCAATTTCCCTGGTAGTTGTACCAGGGAAATCTCAGGTAGCTGAGCCGCAATTGTTGGCGATCTAGTTGCTTTTTCTGGATCCTCGGAACTGCAGCCTTCAATACTTGCCAGGAAATGATTGTTACTGATGACCCAGTGTCAATTTCCATGTCACAGGGCGACTCTTCAATTCGCACAGTGACATGTAATTTCTTCCTGCAGCGGGTGCTCGCCTGCCCTATTCTCATTTGGTAATTTGTTTCAGGCGCTCTTGTATTGACAGTTTTGCACCTTGGCTTCCACGTTTCCTGCTTAGGTGGTTTTGGGGCCTCCAATTTAGGAACGTCTGAGGCGGCTCGGTGATTGGTGGGCATGTTTGCTTGGCAAACTCTTGCCAAATGCCCTTTTCTATCACATCTGCAGCAGATGGCATCCCTGTAACAGCAGGATGCTCTAGGGTGCTGACCCCCGCAGCTGACACATGGTTGCCTTTTATTCTCCTGCTCTGTGGGTCTCTTTCTATCAGTGCGATAGACCTCGTCCTCACTTCCTTCAGATTCCTCGTCCTGATAGTGGCCTTTATGTATTGTGGCTGTCAGCTTCTGAAGTGATTCAGCTGCTCTGTTGGACGACTTGGTCGCCCTTGCCTCATCCAATGCAGCCTGCAAGGTCAGATTTGTTTTGGCTAAAAGTCACCATTGCAGTTGGAGATCTTTTACACCACAAATGATCTGATCTATCAAAATGTTATTCAAGTTTCTAAATTCGCAGTGGGCAGCGGCTTTTCGAAGTGCAAGGACATATTGGTTGATGGATTCGCCATCCTGCTGCATGCGGTGCCTGAATTCATAATAATTCACTGTTTTAGATGGTGCTGGAGCATAATGGGTCTTTAGTGAATTTTGCAGCACTTGCCACAGTACAGATTGTACTGGCGTTGGCTCAGACAAAGATTCAGCTGTGTCGAA